CCGATCAAAGGCACTCAAGAGATGGACGAAACAGAACTTCAGCTGGGAATTCAAAAATTTGTATGGGACCATCTACAAGACATCAAGGACTTACTTCGCCGATTCCTGGTATACAATATCACTGCTAGTGGACCAAAGAGTATTCTGGCAGTTCCATAGATGAGCATATTGGGATTTCGTTGTGGGGCATATGAGAGGAAACCGGACCCGGCAAAAACCGATAATATATCTCAATGGCCAACGCCCCTGGGCACAACGACGGAGGTAAGAGCCTTCTTAGGGGTAGTCGACTTTTGAAGAATATTTATCAAAAGTTTTACCAAAATTGTCGAGCCTATCTACGTCATGATTAGAGAAGAGGGAACCATGGACTGGACTGAGGAACGAGAGGCAGAGACTTAAACTCTCAAACAGATACTGACGTCAGGACGAGTCACCTTTGCAGCACCGTGTTTTAACGACGAAGTGGGACAACCATTTATCCTCGAGACAGATGGAGAACCCTTGGCTGTAGGAGGAGTTTTGGTATAGAAAGGTGAGGAAGGTAAAGAAAGGTCAATTAGGTTCGAAAGTAGAACCCTGAACTCTGCAGAACAACGATACTCCCAATTCAAAAAGGATGTCCTAGTCGTTTTACATTGCCTCATTACCTTCCAAGCCTACCTATTCGGGAGGCATTTTATTCTGAGGATCGATCCGACCAATGTCGCAGGGCTTTAAAGAATAATAAACCTATAGATCCGATTGGTGGAAGATGGGTATGCTTCATCTGGCAGTTCGATTACAAAATCGAACGAATTGTTGGGCTCAGGAACAAGGTCGATGAGCTAAGTCGGGTTTGCATCACACTCGAAGGGGTGGAGGATGTGGAACCCATCGACGCTTTCTTGGAATACGAAGGAGGAACCCTCGTAGTGGATAACGAAATGATGAGCAAAGTGTGCGCGTTAGGGTAATTATTGATTCAGACCTTGGAAAAAGGGACACCTGCACTAGTTCCGGAACTCAGGGAAGGACCAGTTAGCATACAAGGGCGCAAAGAAGAGAAGGATTTGTGGGGAGCAACAGTGGATCTGAGGGAGGTTTTGATAGCGATGGTCGTTGAAGGAGGTAGGGAAACCCTGCTGAGTTTAGTAGAGTCTTGGGAACGAGAAGAGCTGCAACATTTGGTGAACCAGATGCAAGAGAGACAGGGTGAGGGTAAGGAAGGAAAAAAGCTTTCTATGTTCAGATGTATAAGGGGATCTTTCGAGAGATCGAACTGTTGTTGGTAGGGAATAAGCAGCCCGTGGAGGTTAACTTTAAAGCAAGGGAGGAGGCCGAACGGTATGTCCTAAGAAATTGTTATCTGTTCAAAATGGAGGATGGTGTTATGCCAAGGAGAGTCGTATGCCGGAGGTCTAGGCAGCTCGATGTAATCCAGGCGATGCACGACGGACTAGCTGGGGACATCGATCATCCAAAGGGACCCTTGCAAAAATAGCACCTCTTTATTGTTGGCCACATATGGCAAGTATGGTGACCACATACTGTCAAAGTTGTCTAATCTGCCAGAAACGAAGCTCGGTTCG